TTTTTTTTTTTTTTTTTTTTTTTTATGCTTCTTAGTTGTTCTTTTGCAGAGCTACCAGCTTAAGTTGTGCTGGGATCAAGAAAGATGGGCCTTGGCGGTTTGTGTTCCTGGAGTTGTATCCATGCCAGTGAATGCCCACACGCTCCAGAAGAGAATTTGACATTGTTGCTGCCATTGTTGCTGTTATAGCAGTGGCGGCTACCGCTGCTACTGTTTCTGGGATTACCATTTCATAATTGGTTACTACAGCTAGCACAGTGGAGACCCTGGCAGCAAAAGTAGCTATCACAGTTAGTTAATTTTTCATTCTATTGGGCATGATAAATTTATTCAATAGTTATATACAGATTGGCCTAGAAAATTATAAATTTATAAACTCAAGATCCATTTGCTTTTGGGATACCATCTTACAAAGACTCCAATTTGCAATAAGGCTTGTTAAGGAAGGGAATGGCTCAGTTGCCTTTAGCCTACTGGATATGGGTAAGATAGGACCTCTGTTGGTCTTTTCTGTATCGAACACACAGATTGCAAGCCCAGCGCCACTTTGAGATCTTTGGCAGCAGTTAACTCTGCAGCTCACATGATTGAGCCTGTATGATGAGTATTGAGAGACAGGTAATGCCTGGGGGGCACTCACCAACCTAAGACAGAGTGCCTGTATGGCCTAGGCAGGTGTCTCCATGATGGGTAAGATGACCTGCTGATGTCCCACGCAACTTAAGTCAGAAGCTCATTTTCTAGTAAAAGGGGGACCTGTAGGGTCCTGGCCCCCCTTTTGGGTAACTGTTGCCTTGCTTGCTGACCTTGACCTTGATATCCTCCCTATGCTAATTCCCTACCAGGTTCCACCCTCCTGAATGCTTAAGGGAAGTTCTTTGTCTGTGTATCCTGCATAATGGGCGTTAACAGCTTAGATGCAAGATTGTAAAACATCGGTAGCGAACTTCTGCCCTCTGGGGTTCCCCCATTGTGCTGTAAGCCTGTATTTAAGACCTCCTCCCTCCTTCAATAAACAACATTCGGCAAAATAAATAAATAAATTAATTAATTAAAAAAAAAGAGTTCAGCTGGGAAACAAAGGTATCATAGATACAAAAGGACCATTTGGGGTGATAGCAACAGACAAGGAGCATAGACATTAGCTGAGGTTCTCCATGCCCCTGCTACCACCCTGTTATAGTTTGGATAGGAAGTACCACCCCCCAATTATTCATCACTACAGTTCCAGGTCATCTGATGCCTTCTCCTGACCTTCATAGGCACACATGTGGTATACATACATACATGCAGGAAACACACACACACACACACAAATAGATCTTTAGCAAAATGAAACATGGGAGGGCAGGCAACATGTGGCAGGGGAGGAATTCTTGTGGACAGACAGGCCCAAGAGAACAGTGGGAGAAGCTTCAGGAGTGAAATCAAAGCTGTAATGAGGACCCCAGAAGTCAGAGAAGCCAAGAATGGGGCAAGTCTGCAAGCCTGAGACAGGACATGTGGAGTGCAGCCAGAGAGGTAGCTGGTACCCAAACCTTCCGAGACTCACCTCCCGCCAACACATACCCTAAATGCTAGACACGGTGCTCCAAGAGGTGACGTTTACCCTGGGTTCCAGCCTAGAAATCCTTCAGCAAGTGTCCTCTCGATCTACGTTCCTCCTGTTCCTCTTCTTAGGAATAGGACTGTTTGGTCTGTGAGACTGCATGTTGAAAGTGTGAGAATCGACTCTCACCGTTACCCCAGCAGCCGCTCTGGAGGAGCCACACTTCCTCCCGAGCCAGAGCGCGGCCTTGCGGCAAGAAACTCAAGAGATGAGCATCAGAAAGAACGGCTGTATGTCCAATAAATGTGTCCCGGAACATCTGTAATTTCCATTATTAGAACCTTTTAAGAAAATATTTGCAGACCAATTCAAGATGGAGGTGGCCGCTGGCACCCTTGGGACTGAAGAGCAGCTCATAGGGCGGGTCCTAGGTCCCCTGGGAGGCTCAGGCCAGTGCACCCGTACCTCGGCATGGAGCTGCTACTGCTCGCCCTGCTTGGGGGTGGAGAGCATGGGCCCCGCGCTGCTGCCCTAGGGCTGCAAGCATGATGGTACAAGGTGAGTAGGCAAGGCGGCCTTCATCAAGGAGTGTGCAGTGGCCTGGAGCTCTCGATCCTGGGCAACCACAGAATCTCTGAGATGAGTCTCATTGATAGTCCAGTATCTATGGTGCTTCAGAAACCCTTGAACCAGATCAATGATTTCTTGCAATAAGTATTTGCATGTAAAGCTATTTGGGCAAAAAAATATATATACTGTGTGACACACTCAGTTTGCAATGCCATTTAGATGAATAAATAAATGCGATGGAGAGGTGGGAAAGATGGCCTAAAGGAGCAGCACATGTATGTGGATGATGGATGGGGGAGCATGGCATTGTGGAGAAGGGCTGCCGTGGGATGGTCTTTCTGTATGCTGTGAATATGTGTTGCTACCATTGGTTATCCCAAGGGAAAGGCAGAGCATAGGAGAAGACTATAAGTAAGGGAGGTCAGAGGCCCGTATATCTTCTTCTCACAACATGAGCTACTGTCCTCAGTGGCCAAGGACAGAATGTACCTGATGCAGCCAAACCATAATTCATCTTTGGGGTAGAGCAGATTCACACCCTAAGGACTCTAGTCCCTTCCTGGCTAGAAACAGATATTTCTTCTTCAACCAAAACCTGTGATACTGGGGAAGACAGCCTGGTCCCTGGGTCACAGTCGCCCTTATGACATCATGGTCATCTCCTCCATCAGCCATCCTAGGCCTGCTGGAGTCAGATGAGCAGCAACCGACGGGGGATGATCACCTGAGCCCTTCCTCTGCCATGGGCGCTCAATGTTGTGTAAGAGCGTCAGGTCCCCTGCCCTGGGGTCGAGGGATGCTACTTGGCCGAGGGAAGTCATGGGCTGCTCTAGGGGACTTGGGGAAAGACTGGGGAGCTGGCAGGGGTGCTGGCTTTTACCTGTGACTCCTCATTTCAATTGCAGAAGTCTGACGTTGAACTCAGCCTATATAAGGAAGAGAGGCAACCAAAGGTAAGTGTGACCCAGGACCATAAATGAACCAGAGTCCCCGAACCCCTGACCTCAGTGTTTGTAGAAATGGAGGCGCCTTCTTCGCTCCCACTTGGTATTGCTCTCCTGTCCCTTAAATACCCTCCCTACCCCGAGTGACCTGTGCACGGGACACAGGAAGGTGAGTCGCAGAGCAGTGGGAAGTGAGGAGGTAGACGGGGGTTGCCATGGGCCCGCATGATTGAGAGAGGTAGAAATGAGAGAAGAACTTAGGGAGCTGTGACAGCTAGCACAAGTGTGGGCTGGTTCAGAACTGAGATGCAGCAGACTGGAAATCTATAATTCTTCTTTGTGAAAGCTTCATGAGGTCTTCAGGATCAGAAAGTCTTCCCCCTGGGTTCCCCTGTGAACACAGTATAAGCAGACCTCACTTTATAGAGGAGGCCACTGTGGCTCAGAAGATGAGCTATGGCCGTAGCTATGGCCAAGACAGAGGTGGAGACAAAACTCTATCCCTCTCTCCTTGCATCCCCATCCACTGAGCATCCTGTCCTTTGCTTGGTTAGCCCCATCCTCCAAAACTACTGCACCAACGAAAAAGGACCCAAGCAGCCAGTAAGATCCAGGCCTTGTGGCGCGGATTCCTGGTGAGGCAAACCCTGCTGGTTGCTGCCCTCAATGCCTGTGTGATTCAGTGCTGGTGGAGGAGCATCCTGCACAGGCACATTCTTAAACAGCGCCTGGCCCTGCTGAGGATATATGTCATCGAGGAAGAGGCGGCAGTCAGGCTCCAGGCCTGGGTTCGCATGTGGCAGTGCCGTCGGTATTTCAGTCAAATGTGCAACACGCTCTGCGTGGTCCAGTCCCTCGAGAGCAGAATTACCTTCCAGAACGATGACATTTTTCAGGTTCAATATGGAATTGTTTCCAAGCAGCCAGAGTTCCATATTGAAATCCTATCCCTCTAAAGGCCTGTAGCACAAAGAACTGGCTCTAGTGCATCAATAAATGCCTGACCTGGTTTTGTGAGTCTCAGTGATTGTCATGCCATAGGGACACCCCCACCCCAGGGGCTCAGACTCTACGTCTCTTCCTCTCTCCCTCCCCACAGAGCCTGGTACCTCCAAACCAGGAAATTCGGATCAAGATGTCTGTATCTATGCAGAACCTGGCATCTCAGTACACAACCCTGGGACCATCCCTGTCTTTTGAAGTTGGAATTGAAGGGCCTAAGCTTCATGTTCCTAAAGCAATAGATGAGACATGCAACTTCTCTGCCCACTACCAAGCACTTAATATAATCATTATGAGCACTCTCCCACAGCACAGAAAGAATACATTCACCACCCCAGCCTCTAATTTGTTGTTGTTTTCTTGCCTTCTCTCTTCCAGGAGAAAGGTCAGACTATTATGGCCTGTACAGCAAGGTTGTTGCAATAGAGATGAACATTTAAGCCCAACATATATTATCCGGCCCTCGCTGACTTGCATACACTAAGCAAATATTTTCTAATGTCTAATCAGAACTCCTCAGAGACAGACATAACCAATTCCACTCACAGCTATACCATCCATGCTCTTGCCCCTCAGTATTCTTCTACAGTTTATCCCAGTGACCCCCTCTCTCCACCTGTGAATGAGCCTCGCTCTATCCTGCTTCATCCCCGCAGCAGATGAGCTAAAAGAAAAGTCTTGTTGGACGGGAGGAAACCGTTTACCAACTCCTCGCAAAGCTAAACAGAAACCAGATGTGGTGGTGCGCCTGTAAATTCCAGTCTTTGCAAGGATCAGTCAGGGAGTCCAACCTGGGCTACCTGGAGGAGCCTTGTCCAAAAAGGGGGTGGTGAGCAGACTGGTGGCATGGCTCAGTGAGCAGAGGCTCTTGCCTCCAAGCCTGAAGACCTGAGTTCAATTCCCAGAATCCACAGGTTGGAAGAAGAGAACTGATTCCCACAGGTTGTCTTCTGGGAGGCAGACTGGAGGAAAGGGTAAAGGAAGGAAGACAAGAGGGATAACTAACACTAAAGACATTTTGAAAAACTCACATGGAAGCCTACTACTCTAGAAGCTTTCTAAAACATACACATATACATATACACATACACATACACATACATATATAAAAAGTTTAAATAGAATTACCCTATTATAGGACAAAAATGCCATCCTAGACAAAAGAGAACAACAAAAAGCCCAATTCTGGGAATGTGTTACATCTTTTGAAGTTGTTGGCAGGTGAGTCACATGGACCCCCCAAATATTATAGGAAATTGCCAATGCTCTTGGTTACCTCCAGAACTTGATGGTAAGACCCTCTTGCTAAAGATAACACATCCTTGTGTCATAGAACAAGGAGCTACCAAGCGGATACCCACAAGGAAGCATTGCCCATAGTGTCTAACTTTCCTGAGCTGGAAGGTGCTATGCACACTACCAGAGGAGAAAAGGAATCACCACTCTTAGCCAGTTGTGAACCCTGTGAGTTACAATGACCTGGCAAGAGATGTCCACTAGCGCATAAGCATCATGAGTAACCAACCGATCTCACTGCACAAGCTGAATCCCATGCCTGGCACCATTACCTGCGGCCATGAACCTGTGGCTAGACAAGTCAGAGCCCCTATAGGAGGTTGCTATGACTCTGCTAAATAGACATAGTATTAAGCCGACTCCTAATGGCTTGTGGTTATATCCCTAGACTAGTGTGTCTCTCAACCCTCATCAGAGAAGCTGCTTTTTGCAGTAGATGGGAATTAACACAGAGACCTACAGCTGGTCAAGAGGATAACAAGCTGAAGAAGGTTCAGCCCTAAATAAGACATCCATTTCATAGCCCCTCCTCCCAAGGCTCAGGCATTACCGCTGAAGAAAGGGTGGAAGGGTTATAAGACCCTGAGGTGATGGACGACCAACAGGAAATAGCGTTTCTGGACACAGTAGGGCATTTGCATATATGAATCCGTGGCAGTTGAGACAGCGTGCACATAACCTGCATACGCTCGCATCAGACAAAGAGGAGGAGGGTGGGCATGAAGCCCCACCCCCAGCTGAAGAGCTATGGGCAACTGTTAGCTGCTGGGAGGGGGTGTGTGTGTTTAAGGGGAGGCCTGGGGAGTTGACCGCCCTTCAGTGAAGGCCACACATACAAGAGTATCCCAGCAGTACAAACTGTACTTGACAGTGGTGGGAAGGACACAGTTGAGTCAGTTGAAAGTGGGGGATGGATCTGAGAGGAGTGAGGAAGTGAATATGATCGAAATACACTGCACAAAACTCTTAGAAAACATAAAAGACTGAGGGGGGAAAAGTTGCCATCTGACCTCCACGTGCACACTGGGGTCCACGCACACACGTTCACACAGAGAAAAAGAGAGGAGAAAGAAAGAGAAAAGAGAATAATGTGAAAAACAGAAGTTCTACGACATAAGTTAACTTTGAAAACATTATGTTAAGTGGGAGACAGACACATATTGCAGAGTTATATAAAATTTATATAAAATGCCCAAGAGAGGTAAATTATAGAGTTATAAATAAATTAGAATCTGCCAACATCAGCAGGAAAGAAGTGACTGCTCCTGGTTTTTGCTGGTGGTGACTTCTGTTTTCGTTTTCAATGATGAAACTATCATAGAATGCGATCACAATGATGGCCACTGTGTTAGTTACCTTTCTGTTGTGATACAACCAATGACCCAAAGCCACTTGTGGAAAAAAGAGTTTCTTTGGGTTTACAGTTCCAGAGGGCTAAAAGTCCGTCATGGCATGGAGGAAGAGTGGCATCCGGTGCCAAGCATTGTGGCAGGAGCAGGAAGTTGAAAATCTTATCTTCAACCACAAACAGGAAGCAGGGAGAGAAAACTAGAAGTGAGGCAAGGCTGTGAACTCTCAACCCCAGTGTGGTGGTGTGAATGAGAATGCCCCGCCCCCAGAGGCTCGAGCATTTGAATGCTTGCTCCCCAGCGGGTAGAACTGTTTGAGAAGGATGAGGAGGTGTGGTTTTGTTGGAGGAGGTGCGTTTCCCAGTTAGCTCTCTTTCTCTGCCTCACGCTTGTGGATCAGATGTGAGTTCTCAGCTGCTACGCCAGCACCATGCCTGCCTGCCCACTGCCATGCTCCCCGTCGTGATGGACATGGACTCTAGTGCCTGGAACTGCCATGCCCAATTAAATATTTTCTTTTAAAGTTGCCTTGTCATGGCAATAGAAAAGTAACTAAGATACTCACTCCTGTGGTGGTATTGTGTTCCCCAAAGTATTGTGCACCCTAATAAACTTATCTGGGGTCCGAGAACAGAACAGCCACTAGATAGACATAGAGACCAGAAAATGGTGGCACACACCTTTAATTCTATCACTTGGGAGGCAGAGATCCATCCGGATCTCTGTGAGTTTAAAGCCACACTGGAAACACCCAGAAATGGTGACACATGCCTTTAATCCCAGGGAGTGAGCCTTTAATCCCAGGGAGTGATGGCAGAAAGCAGAAAGGTATATAAGGCATGAAGACCAGAAACTAGAAGCTTTTGGCTGGTTAAGCTTTTAGGCTTTTGAGCAGCAGTTCAGCTGAGACCCATTCAGACAAGGACTCAGAGGCTTCCAGTCTGAGGAAACAGCATCAGCTGAGGAACTGGTGAGGTGAGGTAGCTGTGGCTTGTTCTGCTTCTCTGATCTTCCGGCTTTAACCCATAACTGGCCTCAGGTTTGATTTTATTAATAAGACTCTTTAAGATTCGTGCTACACACTCCCAGGTGAAGCAAAGATAAAAACAGAGGGACGGAGAAGGGAACTCAGAGTGCAAGCCTGGGAAGTCAGAAGGTTCCAAGGGTACTGAGAAAAGACAAGACTGCACACAGAGACGCTGCATGTCGTGTTTAACCTACTTCAGAACCCTGAAGGCCCAGAGGTCGCCTCTCCTGCCAGCCATTCTAAGTCTTGTCAGATTTACACACCTAATCCATATGGAGATTTGGGGAAATTGATTACTAATTCTTCAAACTCTCAGAGGCTTTGATGACCTAGAG